TGGGGGGGTGCGCAAAAATGCACCTTTGCCTGTGTAGGCAAAAACCCTTGCACCGGCCCTGTATATCCCCTATAGTTATAAGTCCTGGTGGCATCCGTGTTCCAGTAGGCACACTTGCCTTTAGAAAAAGACGGTTACTAAAGATAAAGTGACTCACCACTATACTGTATACTCTGCCTGAAGTGTCTGCATCCAGTATTGCTATTAAGATATACTGACTATGAAACAACTATGAAAAAAAGCTAAACCCCACAGCTGGTAGAAGGAACTCTTTAAATGAAAAAAAAACTGGAGCAGTTTGATCAAGAAGTGTAAGACAAAATACCAGCTGACAACGTATAGTCTTATTTGGAGCTACAGAAAGTACGTAATTTCAGTTGATGCCTCCAAAGAATGGCCTATTAAATATTAGTCAGTAGTAGCACTAATTATGTATACGTCATTTTCATTTGTTTTATTATTTACAAACATATGTAGAGTCATTAACAAATACATAGTGCCTGCTTTATGAATGTTGAAATAAAGAATGGTGGGTGAAATATCGGTTTTGGATGGCTTAACTACGACTTGAATAATTTAATAAAATTTAAAAAAAATAAAGGTGAAGCCAGAATGCCTCCCAACTCCACTTTTATCCTTATTTTCTTTTGTTCAATTTTGTAGAATTATCCCCAAAATTACAGAACTAAGATAATCATTTTGTTGTCCTTTTATTAATCAGATTAAGGTAGCAATACTGTGTATAAATCCACTTGGATTATTACTTTTTCAACATAATGTAATTTTAGACTTTATCTACACTTGATTTTTAGAAAGGTAAGAATGCCACACAAAAGTGAACCATTTCATGATTGTTTTTTTTCTCTCACCATTCCTAAAGCTTACAAAAAGAATTTCTTCAAATAACATTACTAAACTAAAAAAAATACTTTCATAATGTAGATAATAATCTATGACAAAGAAAACAAATAACTGCCAGTGAATGAATTCATGTCTTACTTAAAATTTACCATTACAAATAAGGTTGATGGTTTTTCATTTGCTGTATCATTTGTTCCTAGAAGTTGTATTTTCATTCAAACCAGCAACTATAACTACATCCAGGAGGTTATTAAATTTGCATGAGAAAACACATGGGCAGCAGTCTCTCTTATCCCTCTAATAAAACATGTGCTGTTCATATCCATTATATTAATACAAAAGCAGCAAAAGGCCACTGTTCGTGCTGCTGAACTGACAAATTGGTCTTTGCATGGACAGGACCTTGTCAATGACAGCAACAACTTCATAAGGAAAAGGTTTTCGGGAGGATGCTTGTGTTGCCTGCTGTCACAATGGTACATGTTCTGTCTCATTCATAGAGAACACTTCCTTATAGTTTCCCATTTCAATTAAAGTGAGAAAAAGAAAGACCTTTGTACTTCAAGTACCACTATGATGATAATGGGGTATCGAGCGAATCTTATCAGAGGTCAAGTACTGTAATTATGTGTCACTTTCTAGCCCTACAAGACTGGTGCCCCTTCTAGAACTGAAAAATTATCAGTACACCTTTGGCACAGCCTTGGACTTGCCCAATCAATGTGGCTGCTAAGCAGCATCTGATTTGTAGCTGGCTCTATAGTGCTGATGCCCAGCACAGCTTAGAGTGTTTCTAACAAACAGAGCAGACTCCTATTGATTTTAATTAAAAACCTGCGACCGGATAGAGAGCAGAGCTGGAATGGTCTGTACAGTACAAGTGGGCTGGTGACAGAGTGGGTTCATGCTTCACTGATCACTCAAAATGTCCTAGGTTCTAAACAAGAATCAGAAAATAAAATGTACCTTTTCCTTAATACAGAACATGTTATAAAGGACCACAATGATAAAATATTATTCACATTTGAAAGGAAATGTCACAGATTACACTGCAAAAAATAAAAAAACATATTTATACGTTATCCTAATTCAGCAAGTAAATTACAAAACCATGCTTTTGGTCTTGCACTTTTAAAACCCTAGACTGCAGTGGTTGCATACTTTAAATCTTTTAAAAAAATCTTAAAAATGCATTCAGGTACCCTATTAATAAAAAATTATTTTATCTGTGTATCACTTGGCTGTATTTCCTCAAATCAGCTCTGTCCTTCTTTCTGTAGGGTGCCTACTTTTGTTCCCTAAGGTCCCTGTGTCTGATGGACTACAATCTCAATACAAACAAGTAAACTAAATGTGGGATTGTAGTCCATCACAGGAGCAAGCCTGGAGTGGTGGCTACTATGCAACACACACAGGGACCATGGGGAACAAAGGTAGCCACCCTCCAGGAGGAAGGACAGTGTCAGCACCAATTCAGAGATGATATACACATAAGCTACATTTTTGTTAATAGTTAAGATACTTGAATGCATTTTTAAAATTTAAGTCTTGAGTTTAGTTTCACTTTAATAAGCAAACATGCCTTTTGCAGGTGTACAAACACTAGCTGAAATGTTGTGCCATACACAATAAAGCAGAGTAGGAGCTTCTTCTGCCTGGATCTGTGCGCTGTTGTGTTTCGATGTTACGTTCATGTTCATTGGCTTTTATTTACTCCAGAAATGAAAAAGCAAAAACTATTATTTACATTTAAGTTTATCTTTTATAGTAGGACATAAGCTCCCAGAGTGCAGATGGTGGCCATCAGGTTATGAAGCCAACGCATAACTGATTCAACATTTGTTTCAAGCAAGATACCAACAAAGCTAGCATCAGATTTAGCTTTCAACTTTCAGCTGTTTTTTGCTTGCAACACACCTAAGAAATGTTCAGGGTTGTGCATTATATTAGTGCAGTGCTACTTTTAAGCAGCAGAGGGGGGAATGTACAAATGGAGTGTTACCCAAATTACTATTTTAAGTTATGAACTGCTATATAAGCGTTCATACTTACAAGTATATGGTTCTGAGGATTCAATCATGAGATTTCGGAGCTCAACACAATAATAGAGATGTATTGGTATATAGTATTAAGACTTAAATACAGTGAACCAGCAATCTATTTAACTACAAAATACTAAAGAAAAGATTTACACATGCAAAATACACAGACATTGATATATCAAAAGGAAGAAGAGAAGAAAGTGGGCTTTGGAGGCACCAACATGACAAGTCACACAAAATCAAGAGTTGGCTAGAAGTATTATTTTATAGTTGCATGATTAAAAAAGAAATGGCCATGATAAAAACTAGAATAGAAGCCTCCAACATCCACTCAGTTCCAGAATACAGGTAGTATGAACATGATTAAATTATCATATAACATGATTGAATTAATACGTAATGACCAAGATAGTGGGAAAAAAACAAGGTATATATGTAGACATATGTATATATATCTTTTGGCATAGATTCTGCAGATAGAGGGATATCTCTTCTAGCCTTTCTTGACTATGTTATATACATTCTGGCTTTTTGATAGTCTACATATATCACCAGCAGGATAACTGGGCATGCAAAGGTCTACAATAAGGCCAAAAAGATGCCTACCTTAAAATGGTAAGTTAATAAGGCATTCTTTAAGGTAATCTTCTACATCCCAAGCACATAGTCAAAGTGCCCAACATATATGGATAGTCATAAGTGCCATGCAAATCACTAACTTAGATGCCTCTAAAGATGCCCATACACCTTACAATTATCTGCAGATTTTATGTGGTCAGATGGAAAAACAACAATTGCGCTACACACGTTACATATCGCCGCGAACGTCGCAGTGAGAGCAATAATTTTAGGGCCATAAATCACTGATAACACTAAACTGATGAGCGGTAAAAGCTTTTAAAGCATCTCCTATGGTCAATTTTGGGTATTGTAGTTTTTTGAGGTTTCGTGTGCGCGTGCAATTTTAAGGTTTGACATGGTTGGTGTCTTTTTACCCGACGTGACCCCGTCTTTTATATTTTACCAAAAAATTGGGTAATAATAAATATTTTATCATTTAATATAGGGGAAACTGTTTTTTTTTTAAATTCGGTAATTTTACCTTAATATAGTAAAAAATAAAACCCCCAGTGGTGATTAAATACCACCAAAAGAAAGCTCTATCTGTCCCCAAAAAATGGTATAAAATTTATTTCAGTGCAGCGTTGCATGACGGAATAAACGCCAATCAAAGTTCTGCAGCGCTGAACACTGCAAAATGGCCTGGATGGGAAGGGGGTTTAACACCGCGGACTTGAAGTGGTTAAAAGACAAAACACTCCAAAAACAAGTGAACTTTCTGTTAAGAAAAAGGAATTAAAAATTTAAAGTAAAATCATTGTATGTGTGACCTGCTTACAATATAGCCATTTTTTAAATAAAGAACACATTTCTTTGTGAATAAAATCTCTTAGAAACAATCTGCTGCTTGGTTTTGTATAAACGGGGGCCAAGTTAAAACATGTCTCAAAGTAAATGCAGAAAAGGTTTATGTGAATGAATGTAAACAATTGAGGATGATATTAGAAAAGTGATGGAAACATGGAGCTTCAGAATATGTTTAAAATATTAAAATATTTGTTTCATTCAGTCAGAAAAAAACAAAAACATTTTTCTTTCTGTGCTCCAGGTCCCGACACTTGGCTCTTGCTGTGAAGAAATGTTCAATAAACTCTTAAAAAGCAATATAAAATTGCTGCAGTAGTCTTACTTTAAGTAAATTGAGTCTCAAAGCTCTACAAATTTGACGTAGGCATCAACCTCCATTCCCTGAGCTAATTTCCTGACATCAGGTTAAGTGTTGTCTGAAGACCAGGAATCTGCCTAGTGGTAGACCTGTATCAGAAATGTGCTTTCACTACAAAAATGGGTGATTGTTAGATTGACACAAGACACGTTAGAGCTAAATTCCTGTAAAAGATTCTCAGATTTAATGAAAAACATACACTGGAAGAATCCATTTTGAAGTATGAAGGTTTTGCTCTCTTGCACTGCAATCTATCTTTAATAATTATTTTGAATTCTCTGCATAGTAAAATTACAACACAATTGTATTACCTTTACTGTAAGAATAAAGCCAGATGTATACAAGGGATTCTCTCGGTCTAGTTGGCCATTGAGTGTTAAGGCACCACTGAAGTAATCCAAGGCAAATATGCTGTTGGTGTTACCTGTTGCAGAATCAAACACAGGAGATATATTAAAAAACATTATAGCAATCATAATTCATCTTGCAACAAAAAGGTTAGAAAACCATAATGCATTACAAACACTACAGATATATACATCAAGACGTGGAATTACTTTTTCTTTAAAGGGGAACTCCATTCAAGCAGTTTGGGTACAGGATGGCTAAGCAACATAGTTGAGCAAATGCCTCTTACCACCATTGATCACTGCTGCTTCAAGGACTTCCTTCTCTAGTTTCTTCTGTCTGTGCTTTGGATTACACAGATTTCCCAATTGAACTCTACTAGAACTTAGGCACTCACTGAAGTGTGGGTTTTAAGAACTGGCTGCTTCAACACATATAACACAGGCATAGTTCACTGTTGTCACTAAAAATGGTTAAAGTGTGCACTGTGTTAAAGAAAAAATGGCAATTGTTTTTGATATATTGCGCTTTAGCAAACAAAATGCATAGATTGTAAGCACTCAGGGGCAGGGCCCTCCGTACCATCTTATCTTGAATTGTATTGTGATTGTAATGTCTGCCCTATATTGTAAAGTGCTGCACAAACTGTCGGCGCTATATAAATCCTGTATAATAATAATAGAGCAGGAGCATCTTCCTAAGATATCTGGGATAATCACAGGATTATTCACAAAAGGTTGAAGAGTTTGGAGAAGGCAGGAGAAGTGAACAATCTAGGATAACATAGCTAAACTGGAAAGTGAGCTGAATTGGAGAATGTTTCCAAATCAGCTATGTTGTTCTAGATTGCTCACTTCTCCTGCCTTCTCCAAACTCTTCACCCTTTTGTGAATAGCCCTGTCAGTGTTCCCAGAATCTTACCAGAAGGATTGTGCCTACATCCTCTCCAGTGCAGAAGCTGGATGGAAGTAGGTATATTATAAATATTTTTTTTTCTTTTATATCATGCAACATTTGCCACAGGATTGGGGGACCTGATGCAAATAAACAGTCATTGCTTTTGAGTACAAAGTTTGATTTCACTTGCCAGTGACAGGCTTGACCAAGCTATATTACTTAGAACAGTAAATTATCAGGTCCCTGCATAGTGTCCTGACAGGGGCCTCTAGATTAGAAAAATGGCTTAACAGAAATGCAAATCTCAAGGCAATTTACAAATCTGTATTTAACAGTCTAGCTATCTACCTACATTTACACTTTAATAATTTACAGTTTAAATGCAAAAGTTGAAACCTTGCAAATAGATCTGCCAAACTGTAAATTTAAATACAACTCAAGGCACAGCCATAACACAACTAGGTTTCTGCAAAAGAGATGACGTTGACACAATCCCCCTCCAACACACAGACATTTAAAATACAGTGACTGACCATTTACAACTAAGCATCATAATCATTGCATCACTTGCTGTACCAGTAAATCAACAGAGCCAGAATAAAGACATTGTATTTGTCACTAAACACGTGAAATCAATGTTCTTCCTAATTTCATTCTATAGGGTTTCCATAAGAACATGTACTCACACTGTACAAATTAAAATCACCAGCATCTCTTGTCCATGAACTCCCCACACAAGCACAATAAATGGCACACACGCCTTGCAGGAAAAAGATGCCTGATGTCTCTGATTACTCACTTAATCTCATCAAGTAGTTTATCCGTACACAGCTTAGATCAATAGGGTGGTATTTCTTCCTCATACAGATTATTGCGTCATTGATTTATTTCTCCCCAAGCTTTATCTTTGTGTGACACATATTCACAATGCAATTCCTACTTAGACATACAGCAGGTCAATTATATGACACATGCTTAAATGCTGAACACCTGTAACCAATGCAGAGGACACTGTGACACTCAGGCAGACAACCTCTGACTCTCAAATGGTCTGAGTGCAAACAATTTCCAGTGACTCCCCTCAGCCAGAACTGCCGTGCGGCATCAGCCAGGATGAAGAAATAAATAACCCCTAAAAGATTATAGCAATCTGCATGGTGCTAAACATTATACACATGTGGAAACATTAAAAATAAAATGGGAAGTGAAAGTGACATATTTTGCTCCCAACATGTTATCAATTAATACATTTGGCTTGCCCCCACTGTTAACACACAGTTAGCACACCTGTAATAGGATCAATAAATGAGCCAAGTGCAAGCCACCATCTCTCCTTAAATCCCAACACACCAAAATCATTTAATTTAGTTTTGTATAGAGCAAGGACTGGTTAGAGTCTTTGTTAAGCTTTTAAATATTGAAACTTTTATTCTTATAAATAGGTCACAGATCACAGATAGCATATTCAAACACAGATTATCGATTAAACAATACATTCACATTATTCCTAGTGAAATAACATCATATCATTTATAAATCCCTTAGATAGTCATTGGACCTCAGTCTATTCACTTACTAAACAAACTAACACCAAGCACACAACAATGACAACAACGGAGGAAAAGAAAAATAAATAAAATAAAAAAAGAGAGGAGCACTCATTTATGTTCATTTCCCCCATATAATTTTACCACCTTTCCCACATATTTATACCTCTATTTAATCTCTCAATTAGCCTCTAGTATGTTCCCATCTGAGAATCTCTATCCCTAGTTTAGTATCCTTCTCTAGCTTGCAACCACAATGACCAGGTTGTGTGGAATCTATCTTCTCTGTCATACAGTTTAGCTGTCAATTCCTCCATATACATCAGGTGGTCTAATTCAGCTTTCCATTCCTCTACCCCCGGGGCCACATCTGATTTCCAATGTCTTGGAATAACGGCCCTTGCAGCTATCAGGAAGAATCTCAGAAGGTCTCTCCTGACAAATGCAAATGAGCCAGGGAACATTGACAATAGGGCTACCTGTGGGGTTCGAGGGGGTGATAGGTCTGTTGTGTTTTCATATATATCAAAGACCAGTTTCCAGAATGGTCTCAGTCTTGGACAGTCCCACCATATATGGACCATTGTGCCCTTTGCCATTTTACAGCGCCAGCAAAGATCGGAGCATTGTAGATACATTTTCTTTAAGACTGACGGACACCTGTACCATCATGTAAGGATTTTATAATTCCTCTCTTGTGCTGCACTTGATATACATGCTTTATGTGTAAAGATACATGCTTTTTTTTTGTCCGCATCTGAAAAGGTATTGTGTAATTCTCTTTCCCAGGCTGTCATATAGGGAGGGAAGTCTTGGCATCTGAATGACAGTAATATTTGGTATATTGAGGATATAAGATGGTTTGGGGCTGCCCTTGAGGTGCAAAGCACCTCGAAAGGCAGCAGTTCTCTATGAAGATTCACTTCGCTTTTCTAATGTAAAAAAAAAGTCCATCAATTGGAAATATGTTAACCAGCTTCCCACTGTTCTTTCGTTATCTCCAACTAAGGAGGAAAGGGGGAGTATCCCACTAGGGGGAAAGCGCATCAATGATATACGAGGTTGTCTCTCGGGTCCATTGAAGCAACCTTGGGCAAGTAAAACCTGGTGGAAAACGTGGATTTCCCAAGATTGGGGTCAGGGGACCAACATACGACGAAATACTCTCGTTTTTAACAAGGTAATCCCATAACTTAAGTAAGGGAGTAAGGCAGAATGGTAATCCTGGTGTCAGTCTTCGTTAAGCTTTATGTCCTCTGTATCCTTTATTTAGGTGATTTTCCTTCACTTCCTGTCAGATGTGATAGGAAATTGTTCTAGCACAGAAACAGGCAAACACATTTTTTGTAAACTGGAGAAGGCTTAGAACTTTTGAAAATGTTTTTATATTTATTTGTGCTTTCCTGTTCTGGGGATGGCAAACATCCCCTTGCTTGTACAGATGTCACAAGGACAGAAAGTGGGAAATACTCTCTACAATTAAATAACCCTAAAGCTTAGGGCCTAATGGTGGTTAGCTTCCAGATAAGAAAGCCACTATCATTGAAAAAACTGAGCTTTTAAATCATTGCTGCCCCACTATTAGTTGACCAAATTCCATATATGCACGCGTTAATAACATTAAGAACTTTTATTTTACCAAAACTTTGAAGTAGTAAAGGGGTGTGTTCTGCAGCTTTATTATATTTACCATTGTAATAAAATAATAATAATAATAATAATAATAATAATAATAATAAATCATCC